GTCAATATTTACTAGTGGAGTGAAACGCAAACAAACATATCAGAAATTTGACCCCTGTCAACAAAGGTTATCATACAATTTTGCATATTTTTAAAGTAATCTGTTTGCACGAGGACAAAGTGATCCTACACCAAATATTAGATTCTTGCGTAGTTATGATTCTTCATAAAGTGAATGTTTAAATTATTTTTTTATGTATTTTTTTTTGTTGTTGTTCATTAGGCACAGAAGTGGAAGTAAGAATTCTGACAGCTTAGGTTAAGAACTAACCTTTGACTTTTACTAGTGAAAGATTTTTACTGATCAAATGTCTTTAGGTCTGTTTGTTCTTCTATTAAGATACTAAAGGTGTATCTATCACTAATTTTTTTCTGTCACACATTATGTGTCTGCTGAACAGTTACCCACGAGAGCTAGCTATGCCAATCTGTACCTATATAGACAGTGTTTTACTGTACAGAACAGAAATCACTGAATACTTCAATTATGTTCATTCTACAATATTATATTTGTTGCTCCTGGGTCATTTAAAAATATAAACTGTTACACACTTCTAATGTTGACACTGCTTAATTAATATCCCCTCCTCCTCCCCTCCCCGTCCAAACATTCCAAAATTTCCGGATTTGATGCACAGTACAGTTATTCAAATTAATCATAGATCATTATTTTTTACAAGTTTAATCAGTTTTTTAAAAATTTGGACACTAAATTCTTTAAAATTTCCTCAAATATATGCAAAGTATTTTAATAAGTCAATGAAAGAGTATAGGTTATCATAATACCCTCCCTGTGAATTAATGTTTTATACATTATATTAATGCATTTCCTCAAGTTTTGTGCTGAATATATAACAGCATAAAACTAAATATAACTTCTGCCTCGCTCAATCACATTCACAAAGTCTCTGAATCAATTAACAAAAATATCTAACATTTTAACTAAGAAACAAATCAGTAAATTGAAGAAATGATAGATTTTAAATTTATTCATCTGCCAGCAACATGCAGACAGGGTTTCAATAAATCTTTACATCTCATGCCATACTCAACTGTCATAAACTGAAATTCACATCGCCTATTTTTTTATCAGAACATGCAGACTGACTTACAGCTTCTTGGTTGTTGTTGTTTTTTTATTCAGTCTGCAGAAATTTCATACAAGGACAATAGCGTTATTTTTTCCCCCCGAGACAAATTAATCACACAATCACATTATGCCAGTTTCGCATATTCAAAGTCGCTACAAAATCCCCTAAAGTGATAGGCCAGAATGTAACGACCCGGTAATAATTACGTAACGTTTGCCGCCAAGATCAATACTCTTCCTGTGCTGAAAACAGAAACGGCCCCTAGCAACAGTCTCGCGACTAGAGAATGTTAGTGTCATTCATGTGTCCATGTTAATATCGTTACGAGGGAACAACCTGCCACGAGAATCTGTTTTATTCCCTATCAGAAGAGAATATCCCTCGACAAATATGCAATGAAGAAATACTGTTATTTCCATTTGCAACTTAAACAACATGTGTCATAGATTAAATTGACTTGGTTTTTTGTTCTAATAATCTTTAACAAAAGATGAAGATAAGAGTGTTTTTAGCTGTTCTATTAATATACTTACCCTATACAGAATGCCATGATGTCTTTCATGTAGCTATTAGATGCTGGAATTAAGTTATATATGAACCCGACAAGTTTTACTTTTCAATACGTCACTTTAATATGCAGACATTTAGTTGAAAAGAAATACATAAACCTACTCGAGTCAGCATCTTTTTTTAAAGCATATGATTTACATTATCAAGTCTTATCATTTCAAGGTCACTTTTTAGGGCCATAACAAAAAAGTTTGTTTCTGGTTTGCATAAAACTTCTAGCTGTTAATTACTGGGCTTTATTTGCTCATTCATCTTAATATTAGGGTCAATATCGTCACTTTAGTGCAGAAATGGGTTAACTTCTTATATAATTTAAAAGGAATTAACCTGTTACTGTATTTAGGTGAGGATCTGTCCTAGATTTCATGCAGTCATCACCTATCATTCCCGTTTTTAAAAGAAGACCAAAAACATATATAACATTGATAGGCCTTATATGAAATTAAACAAAGAATGACCTTGACAACTTTTTGTAATTTCACATAAATCATTTTAATAATTTGATGCTTTTAACACGTATTCCACATATTTTTTGCTTTGAACGTTATTAATATTACAATATTATCTGTTAAATTATTCTAATTTTATAAAATGATTATTTTAGAAATTGATGAGATATTTTGAGAGGGTTTTTATTTTCATTTTTTAAAAAGAAAATTAACACTAGCATTTTTCTGTTCTGTTTACGACTTTGGGAATCGTTAAACAAAAATAAATATCATTTAAACTTTACTAGCTTTAATCTCAAATATTTCAAGCAATTTAAGTTTATAAAAGCTTTTATTTCTATTCCACTCTTAATATTATTGATATCAATTTAAACATGAAAGCTTGCAATGAGTGTTTTTCATAAATTTAACAAGACATAATCTAAAATCACCCTAAATTTTACATAAAATTAATATTTCGCAAATGGCTTCAAGTTTTCAAATTATGAAATATTACAAGTGGCAGCTAGCTAGTGGGGCTTGGAAATGGGGTTGGAAGATTACTGGATGGAGAGGAGGGATCATTATAAAATTTTCATTCATCTCTAGGGGGAGGGGACAGCTTCTATAGACATAAAAGAAATGTTCATGGAACCAAAAAATCCATCTCAGAATACTTAATCATGGTAATGAAAAACGTTTTTCTTTAATAGTGTTTTTCAAATGAATAAATCCAACAATCATGCAGATAAAATTTCAACCCAAACCTTAACCAAGTCTTATGCCTCTACTCCTTAACAATACAGTAAAACTGCCCAATTATTCTTTAGAATCGGTCAGTCAAACTAATAAATAATATTTCTCCTCTCCTTTTAAAATCCCATTTCTACATTTTCCCAATCATTTCTTTTATTTATCGTCTTCATGGACTGCATATATTTGATAAAACCCTTAAACTGGAGATAATGTTCAAGTGTCCCATAATGCACTACCAGGGTACCTTATGATAACCCCCTGACATAAATACTCCCTATCATAATATACAAGATAAACAATGACACACTCAGACAGACCCCTTATGCTCTATAATAATTTATATACCAAGTCTGTAATTTATGAGTCTTTCAACATTTCTTGCAGCTTTATATGAAAATGTGCATATGCATAATTCAAAGGAAATTTTTTTAAATTTCATTTTTAATTTTTTTTTCTTTTCTTAATAAATGAGGTCAAAAAATGGAAAATTCTAAGGAAAAAAAATCAGGCTTCAAAGATCGAGTTAATTTCATGAAAATGTCTTAATGCAAAAGAGCAAAATGTGAAAAGGTAAGGTAAAAAAGCATGTATGATGCATTACAAAACAGTATTATTAGTGGCCGTTTAACAGTGTAGATGACATGCTGTCAGCCCGTCTGCTAACAGTGATCATAAGTTTGAACCTTTCTACCATTTCTAATACAACCATATTCATGAATAATAATTTCAATCAGTCTGTGTGTCGAAGTAGGAATACAGATACTTATGTCAGAATAGAAACAGAGATACTCTGGAACTGGGAAAATGTGGGTTTTCCCCACTAAACTTTGTTGTACAAAGGAGTTACAAGGGAAATACCCATATCCGCTCAGTTCTGGATAACATCCATTTCAATTTTGCGTGTATTATTGTTTCACCACTGTATCACAATTTTCTGTTCAGAACGAATTGCTTTATTTAAACTTGCTTAAGTTTGACACCCTTTTGTATATTTCTGCGAATCTTAGATAAATATATAATACTCAAGGTAACACACAGGGATAGGAGGGAAAAAAAAATGTTTTGTAACTGGCTCCAAACAAAAGCTACAAACAAAAGCTACGAATGTAAAATTGTGAACATTGAAAGCAACCGATAATACAAAGAAAATCAGATAATATAAAAACTAAAATCTAGGTCAGACAACTATTTCAGGATAATAGCGTAAAAACCTTTTTTTTACCACTTCATACGATATGTGAGAATTGGGCCTCGTAAACTTAATTTCAAATATCAGCATTTTATATCTATTTAAATAGCAGATATAGATGTAGGCCATAGCTGTTTGAAGGCAATGAAATATTATACATAAAACAGAAATAAACAATTTGTTTCTATAGCCATTCATGCACTCCAATCTAATTTCTATTTTTCAATTGTATCTAAGATTTTAACACCTTAAATTTTTACAAATGTTATAGAATCTAAACGCAAATATTGCCCTGAAACATGCAATTTTCCCAACGCACCAGTGACTTTCAAAAGCAGATGGTATCCCTTCCTTTTTTTACAATGAAAATGATACAATTTTTACTTTTCGGCCAGAGCTTTAATTAGCTATGCTTTTTGCATTGAATAAATTATTTTCCAGAACACAAAATTACCATTTTAATGAGATCGTAAAAAGTATTCTCGGAAAATTTATGACTCTTATCGCAATGTTTAATTTTTCCTCACCACATCATTCTCTAAACATAAAATTTGGGATTTAATTTCACCAGTTCATAAAGATAAACAGTTGTTTCATTTTTTTTATTATTTATTTTTTAAATTGCATTTTGAGACTTTCCCTTTCAAATGATAAAAAAAATCAATTACTGCTTCAATTACCATACTTCATTCTTTACTGTTTGAAACAATTTTATTAATCAGACATAGAAATATTAACACAATAGATTAATGGAGGAGTATCATTCTTAATGAACTTTTAGTGTGACCAGTCTGGCAATGAACTATTTACAAAACGTCAAGCCCAATGCAAGAACGATTCTGATTCCAACATTATAAAGGACTTTGGTGCGACACAACCAGGGGTTATACCTTAAAATAATAAGCATTATAAATTTTCATCTCACTGTAAATTTAAAACAAAATTTAAATTATGAAAGTATTATTACCTCTGTCATTTTGTTAAAGTTCAAAGTAGGACGACAATCTCTACGTCTTCTACGTCCCGACTTTCTGTCATAAAAAGATGGTTGTGACCGACATCGTGGAATTCTGTATCGGTGATGCGGTGAGGACGGCACAGAACTGTTTGTGCCGTGAACATTACCAGTTGATCCGGTGTGCGTCACACCCGAACATGAGATCTTGTCCTCAACTGAAAGACTTCGGTTTCTAAACTCTTGGATATGGTGGGCTTTATAATTTAAAGAATAGTCCGCATAGGGGTCACTTGTAAAAGGACTAATAGCTCCATCACTATACACTGAGTTCGGGCGTGGCACAGGGGACTCAGGTGGAGTCAGAAAGTCTTCTGGGGTAATATGCCCAGTTTCCATGTGCCTCTGTACAGAAGGCGCCAAACTAGAAAATTCATAATTCCTACAATCCGATGGTGACCATCGCACAGTACGAACATCCCACTTGCCATCAAGTCCTGCTCTTGAAGAGTTTCTCATTGTCATGGCAACAGGCTTCCACAGCCCTGATCCCTGAGGTTGCCATGTTGACTTTGCTGGGGGTACACTTATCTCCGTTTCCTGTGGTACTGAGATTGAACGACAATGTCGTTTTTTAGGTCTATCTGACACAACTTGGTTATTCAAAACACTACTATCACACAAAGAACAAAGATGCATTTGTTTTTTATGAGAACACATTATTTTAGTCACAGCGGAGCTTTTTGGCATCTGTGGTGCTGTAAATTCTCCCGTTTTGCTCTTTGCACCGGAATCCGAACCAAGCGACACTGTGAACAACTTCTTCCCTGAAAAATAAACCGAAAACTAATGTTTTTCTCCTGATATTCTCCAACACTTTATAAACAAGGTCAAGAACTCTGTCGAGTCACATTTTCATCTTAGTTCATAAACCTTTCTTAAAGTACAAGCAATTTCACTACACTAGTGCACGATTATGTTAAATAACATGCTATCAAATAGTTTTCCAAATTCCCTCAATACAACTTTTATTGAATGTAAAAGCATGCACTAAAAGGTTGTTAGGTTGTTTAGAATGCACAAAACATTTTCCCCTCATAATGAAAGCAAATTTCACATAATAAAATATCATTTGAGTCATTTAGGCTGGTCTGAAAAAATTAATATTGTCAAATTAAAACAAGATCCAAATTTCTATAAAGTCTTGTTCCAACTTTTTATGCTAAGGTAAATACTGTAAGATGTTTAAAGCTCTTATATTATATCCTCTCAATTTGCATAATGCACAAATTTGTACAGATCATCCATATTTTTGATACTGTCAACGGTCAGTGAGTTCTTAATAAAAATTCATCAAACAAAATGTTTATAAGTGCAAAACAAAACCAGACATTGTAAGGCTTACAATAAAAGCATTGTCAGAAATTTTATTCAAACTTTACGAAAAATAACTACTGAAGTTTGTTTTACATTATTAATTATCAAAATAGCACACAGAAATGAATTAGAATATGACCTTTAAAGCAATTAACTCATGTTCTGTCTCATAAGCTATCAAGTCATTCTGCAAGGTTTTTTGAAGGCAATTAAGTCATTCAGCAAGTACATGTAGGTATCATAGGCAATTAAGTCAGTCTGCAAGGTCTCATAGGCAATTAAGATAATCAGCTAGATCTCATAGGCAATTAAGTCAGTCTGCAAGGTCTCATAGGCAATTAAGATAATCAGCTAGATCTCATAGGCAATGAAGTCATTCTGCATGGTCTCATAGGCAATTAAAGTCATTCTGCTAGGTATCATAGGCAATTAAGTAATTCTGCTAGGTCTCATAGCAATAAAATCATTCTGCTAGGTATCATAGGCAATAAAGTTATTCTGCTAGGTCTCATAGGCAATTTAGGCATTCTGCTAGGTCTCATAGGCAACTAAGTCATTCTGCATGGTCTCATAGGCAACTTAGTTATTCTGTTAGGTCTCCTCTGCAAATAAGATATTCTGTTATCATAGGTAATTAAGATGTTCCATAAGATAAAAGTTAAGATATAAAGAAATGGGATAACTGATAACTTACCTCCAGCTCCAAGCTTAGCCTGTGCCGACTCGCTGAGCTTAAACCCGGCTTCATGATTGATCTGAAATAATAATGGGAACCAGCTCTTAAAAATAATACTCATTTGTTTAAATATGAATGTAAAAAAAGCTAATGCAGTTTATGTGATCCATTTTTTATATGTGCTGGGGTTATTTCGGGAACATGTTAGGGACTTGAACCCATTACCCCTGGGTTCAATGGCAGACACCTTAACCACTACAACACTGATTCTCGTTGAACTTGATACTGTTTATTGATAATATTTAAGAATTTCAAGATAAAAATTCTTTCAGGCGAATGCTTCTATATAAATGTATTTCGCAATACCCGTCACAAAAAGGAAAAAAAATCAATCTGTTGTTATCGGGCAAATGCTACATAAATCACATTTATGAAAACAATACCGTTGACTTGAGTGTAATTAGCCACATTAAGACACGTAGCTTATATTCAAACATTTGTTTTAACTTTAAATACTTTATACTTAACAAAAGAAAAGAAGAAAAAAAATCTGTTCTTATCTAAAATATTTAAGATGACAATCAACGTGGTACCGTTTTTGGCTAGTGGTCGACCAAAACTTTACAAACTTGGCACGGATTGAAAAAAAAAAGATTCACGCCAGCTTAAATGCTTAATATAGTTTATTATCCTATATACTCTTGTCAAGTCAGCTGGCACAAATTTAATAAGATTAATACATACAATGGCAACCATTCAATGTGTACACGTACGTATTTTGATATGTTTGAAAGGCACTACGGTACATAGTGACCCTTTAAGTTAAATATTACTTTCAAGAAAAAAAAAAAACTATTCACAACATATTTTGTCGCATCAAATTTTATGTAAAAATTTAATCTCACAGTATTGTTAGTGACCTATGTTTAAAACTAGGAAAGTTTCCTTCACCCTCAACAAATGAACTTCCTTTTGACACATTTTTTTAAAATGAAAAATCATTCAAATATAGAATAATGTATACACATCTTTAGTACTAGCACCACATCAGATTGTTTGTTTTGTTTGTTTCATTTTACGTTTTTTCCCAAACAGTATTTCAGTCATATAGGCGGACCACATCAGAATCGGACAGGGTATGACAAAGAAATTGATATTACCCCTTACACCTCATTACAATGATAGGGAGGAAAATTTACACAAGACAAATTGGCTACCAAAATTTACTTAATGCATCAGAAAGAAGTGCCAGCTCAGAAGAGTAAAACTGCAGCAAATCTAACCTTTGACCCCCATGTATGTCATTGACCTTTAATATAATAACCAAGTGATTCCTGCCTGTTACAGTAGTAAGAGAATAATTTTAGACCTCCCAATTGCCACGGCTATACCCAAACAGACTTTGACAACACAATTGCACTTGATGTAACATATGCCATTGTGACAGCTTTATGTCGGGGCTCTTCCAAGCATTCCTAACAAAAACGAACCTTGTGGAAAAACTTCAACAGCAGAGGAATTCCTACAATGCTGATTAGGTTCACTTAAACATTATTCTGTTTGATTACTTTTAGAGAACGTGCAAAACTGCAGAAAATTGCCTTCAGCTTCATCCAGCATTTGTCTTAATTCCCAGCCACAATTGCATAACAAAATTCTTTTTTGCACAACATTAGCTTAAATGAAAGAAAGACAAAAAATGAAAAGGAAAAAAAAATATTTAAAAGCCAAGCTCTTATGCATTTTTCATTAGGATGTCACACAAAAAGTACCCTGCTTTTTATAAATTCAAATGGATTTTCCTTTCGGAACTCCACTACAGAAATTTAGTACTTGGAGACCTGCAAAATCACCTTCAAAACGAAATTCTAACAGAAATTATAATTAAGTTGTATAGCAGAGAGAAAACTAGAGAGAATTAGCTTCAATTAAGAGAGGATGCTTATATACATTCACAGTATGACACTGCATTTTAACTCATTCATCTGGTCTGAATCCCCTGATATATATATATATTTTTTTTTTTGTTGGTCGCATTTACGGTTATAATTATGGCGAACTTGGAGCGTTCGTTTCTGGCTGAGGAATGCCTGAAGTGCACCTCTGTGCATTATTTTTGGCACAAGCAACTACCCAAGTAGAACCATGTACATTGTGTAACCATGTACATTGTGTAAGCTAGGTTAATACTAAACTTCCTCAAATCAAAGAATACAAAAACCAAGTGGCGAGATTAGAACCCGCAGCAGTGAGGGCAAGTGGTTTAAAGTCAAAGACCTTATAAACTACACTGCCACATAAGCTCCTACTAGTCTTATAGTCTCAGGTTTGAATCATCTAATTAATTCAGGTTTCATTCTACCAATAATTCACATTTGAATCCTGATATTTCATGTTTAAAATGCCCTTATTATCTCAATTTCACTTTTGAATCTCTGATTTATTTAAGTTTTTAAAATTGAATCACCCCTTTTTGAATCTCAAGACACGTTATGTTTAAATAGTCTGATAATTTCATGTTTGAATTCCCCAATTGTTTCGAGAATGAATCATGTTGGGTGGGAGGGGGCACCCAGGGTCCAACTTTGAGGCAGGGTAAGTGTATTTCCATAATTTAACTCGGGGGGGGGGGGGGGGGGGGTTTAAATGTCATAAGTGCTAAGTTTGTACTATACCTGTTATCATGAAATTTTGCAGCTATTGCTAATGTTACGAATCAATGAGCAGGTAAAAACAATACCATAAAAGACGTCATACCTAAACATTTCAGCAATATCCATTTACAGATTAAATTTCTGCTATCAGTTACAATGGTGCAACTATTTTACAGGAGCTATCACTGTTACTGTCAGTATCCCCTGTTTGTTAGGTCTCAATTTCACATCAAGCTGCATGCAGTCAATCATAAAAACAATAGATGACCTAGCTCTTGGACAATTTGGTCAAATGGATTTGCTAGAAGTGATTTCAATTTAAGTCAGTTAGTGGCGGCATGGCAAAGTTGTTTACGCATCAGACTAGTAATATAGTGATCGCTAGCCGCATGGGTTCAAACTCTGTCAGGAGCAAGTCGTTGTGTCCTTGAGCAAGATCAAACTTTACATACATTGCTCAGTAATGGTTGGTTACAAGAAAGGATTTGAAAGTGTGTCTGTATGCTTATAGCCTCTGACACAATCGACACAATCGAACTAAAATAAATTCTGTATAATCCAATTAAAGTCAGACATGACTTTTTTGTGTTTACGATTTTCTATTTTTCATATATTAGCCACCGTGTAGATAAAGACATATTTAAACTTATTGAACAGACTCAATATAACCAAGTCTGTAAATTTCATATTCTTTTTCATGAACAATCAATATAAATGAGTCTGTAATTCTTTTATCATTTTTCATGAACAGACTTTCAATATAACTGAGGCTATGAATATCACCTAGTAATATTTGAGCTGCGTCATGACAAAACCAACATAGTGCGTTTGCGACCAGCATGGATCCAGACCAGCCTGCGCATCCGCGCAGTCTGATCAGGATCCATGCTGTTCGCTGTTAGTTTCTCCACTTGTAATAGAGTTGGTAAGCGAACAGCATGGATCCTGACCAGACTGCGCGGATGCACAGGCTGGTCTGGATCCATGCTGGTTGCAAACCCATTATGTTGGTTTTGTCATGGCGCGGCTCATTTTACTTTTTTTAATGTTCTGGAGATATCCTCGTCTTTCTAGATTTGTTTAAAAAGTTTGTACTCGGTGAGTAAATTTTTTCTTTATTGTATGCCCACTGGTGACATAATCGGTTAAATTATACCACCGATAGAATTGTAGTTTCTATATAACACCTCTTTTATGACTTTAATGAGCATAATTACTCATTTGTATAATTAACAAAAACCTTTGGGGGGAACATTATATCTTGTAAGTGTAAAGTTTCATACAGCTCAATTATTGTACTACACCTATTCAACGATAATATGACAATATTTTGCGTACAAAAAAAAAAAAACACATAAAGAAAACAAAGGACTTTAAATAAACTGCGTATACACAGATACATTAGTTATATATATTATATACAATACAAAAGTCACAAAAGAAAACGATATTGATTACATGTATAACTTAATATCTGTATTGTAAAAGAAGTGACAAAAATATCGAAAGAGACAGTTTCTAGTAATCATTATGTACAAGGAAAATTATACTTCATTATTAATCATTCAGAAAATGTTAAAATCGCGTCAAACAAATCAACCCACGCGCATGAATTTGTAATATCATTTAAACAAATAGCTGATAATTTTAACATATTGAGCATTCAGGGGAACAATGATGTAACTGTCTGTTATATGGTCCTTGTGTTGCGACACTGTAGTGATACTTTGGTAATTATAAAGATGTTTAAAAGAAGAAGGCGACATGATTCAAATTACATTTTATGAAAAATTTAAAATAATTTCTATTTTCTTCAAATGTTGTGAAGTGTGTAATTAAAGTGGATAAACCTAGCCTAAAATGCTAGAAAGCAACTACAGTGTAACTTCCGAAAACCGAACACCCATGGGACTTGTCAAAAAGTTCGGATTTCAGAGGTTTCCGGAATTCAGAGGTTTATGAAAATGTTGACAAGACTAAGCCACTTAATATCACTAAATGTCAAGGAAGATGTGGCCATTACTGTAATATCATATATAATAGTCTTTTAATCAAGATAAAGATGTGAATGAAAAGAATACATTTTTATCTTACACCTGCAAATGCTTTTGAATTTCTATCAGTTTGTAGAAATGTTGTTAATTGCATAAACTTACATATCGTCCGATGCTAGTTAATTAATTATTACATCAAATGCAATAAAATCCCTAAAGACGTTTGATACATACATTGTCCCAACTAATTTTGATTTAATCCGCTAATAAACACTTTAAATTAACTGACCGCAGTAAATTACTTTGATTACCCGCATCACTTCAAACATACCATTTCACAGTTTGTGATTTTAACGCGTGTCAAATTACACGATCACCGCTAATTAGTAAACAATCGATAGGGAGATTAAATCTTCCTGCAGGGTAAACATTCTCGATTTACAATGTATTTCACACCTTTGGACATTTCCGGTTTTCGGAGGTAAAATTGCATTGATTTGACTCTAATTTTACGAAAATATCGTCCGGAATTCAGAATTTAGAAGTTCCGGAATTCAGAAGTAATATATTAATAGAAAATAGAAGAGAAAAAATTGGGACCAAAAAAATTGTTCGGTTTTTAGAAGTTTCCGGATTTCAGAAGTTCCGGAATTCGGAAGTTACACTGTATCCGCAGAAATTTCCCAAAACTTGCAAAATAATATTTTGTAGAAACAGCTCTTATATTTTAAGCAATGGGGTAAAAATATGGGAACAAAACTGCTGTTTAACCTGTTACGCAACTACCACCAGTCCTGTGTTAAGGACCTGTTATAAATGACTAGTTTTACCCATAGCATTTTTCTATATATATTATATATTTTTTTAAATCTATATACATAAGGTGACCAGCCCTGTTTTTGACACGACCAGGCTATTTTATAGTCATCCAATCTGCGTAGTTATGGGACCACAATGTGAGATGAACAACAATACAAGAGGGCCATGATGGCCCTGAGGTCGCTCACCTGTATATAGCCCCCCCCCCCCCCCCCCCGGGCCAATTTTTACCCAAGGGCTTTTATTTGAACAGACTTGGTAGACACCCATAAGAAGATGTTTCATGCTAAACATCTAAGTTCTAGCTCATTGGGTTTTTTAAAAGAAGATTTTTTAAGTTTTTACTATACACATATAGTTAAAAACAATGACACCCCTGGGGCAGGGCCAGTTTTGACCCCCGGGCTTTTATTTGAACAAACTTTGTAGATATTTAGTTAAAGATGTTTCATGTATTATATCTAAACTCAAGCTATTTGGGTTTTTTCAAAGAAGATTTTTAAGTTTTTGCTATACACATATAAGGAAAATCAATGACCCCCGGGGCGGGGCCAGTTTTGACCCCAGGGCTTTTATTTGAACATACTTGGTAGACACCCATTAGAACATGTTTCATGCTAAATATCTTAGCTCTAGCTCTTTGAGTTCTTTAAAAAGAAGATTTTTTAAGTTTTTTACTATATGCATATAGGGAAATCAATGACCCCCTGGGGCGGGGCCAATTTTGACCCCAGGGCTTTTATTTGAACAAACTTGGTAGACACTCATTAGAAGATGTTTCATGCTAAATATCTAAGCTCTAGCTCTTTGGGTTCTTTAAAAGAAGATTTTTTAAATTTTTACTATATGCATATAGGGAAAATCTATGACCCCCTGGGACGGGGCCAATTTTGACCCCAGGGCTTTTATTTGAACAAACTTGGTAGACATTCACTAGAAGATGTTTCATGCCAAATATCTAAGCTCTAGCTCTTACGGTTCTTTAAAAGAAGATTTTTTAAGTTTTTACTATATGCATATAGGGAAAATCAATGACCCCCGGGGCGGGGCCAATTTTGACCCCAGGGCTTTTATTTGAACAAACTTGGTAGACACTCACTAGCAGATATTTCATGTCTAATATCTTAGCTCTAGCTCTTTGGGTTCTATAAAAGAAGATTTTTTAAGGTTTTACTATATGCATATAGGGAAAATCTATGACCCCCTGGGGCAGGGCCAATTTTGACCTCAGGGCTTTTATTTGAACAAACTTGGTAGACACTCATTAGAAGATGTTTCATGCTAAATATCTTAGCTCTAGCTCTTTGGGTTCTTTAAAAGAAGATTTTTTAAGTTTTTACTATATGCATATAGGGAAAATCAATGACCCCCTGGGGCGGGGCCAATTTTGACCCCCAGGGCTTTTATTTGAACAAACTTGGTAGACATTCACTAGAAGATGTTTCATGCCAAATATCTAAGCTCTAGCTTTTACAGTTCTTTAAAAGAAGAAGATTTTTTAAGTTTTTACTATATGCATATAGGGAAAATCAAATGACCCCCGGGCCGGGGCCAATTTTGACCCCAGGGCTTTTATTTGAACAAACTTGGTAGACACTCACTAGAAGATGTTTCATGCCAAATATCTAAGCTCTAGCTCTTTGGGTTCTTTAAAAGAAGATTTTTTAAGTTTTTACTATATGCATATAGGGAAAATCAATGACCCCTGGGGCGGGGCCAATTTTGACCCTAGGGCTTTTATTTGAACAAACTTGGTAGACACTCATTAGAAGATGTTTCATGCCAAATATCTAAGCTCTAGCTCTTACGGTTCTTTAAAAGAAGATATTTAAAGATTTTTCTTTCGGTTGCCATGGCAACCAGAGTTCTGCATGAAATGGAATTCTTTGAACAATCTTGATAGAGCTTCATACAAAGAGTATTCCTGCCAAGTTTCATTAACATTGGCCTTGCAGTATCATAGAAGATGTCCTTAGAATATTTAAAATGTGGACGGACGACAGACGACGGACGCCATTTGGTTGGCCATCCTAAAAGCTCACCTGCACTTTGTGCAAGGTGAGCTAAAAATGTTGACAAAATTCTCCGCATTAACAATATTTGCACACTTGCATACTGTAAATTCTGTAAAAGTTAATATTTATACATTTCTTTACGCTCTTTATATATTTTACTTTTAAGTCGGGCTTTTGAAAATTTGTTTACAAATGTGGAGGCGTGCAGCTTTAAACATCATGCAGAAATGCGTCATCGGCTACAAACAGCAAGACAAGTGCAGACTGCAAGATTGTAAACAGACTTTTCATTAACACCCACTGAATGTATTTTTCAAGGCAATTTATTCTCTGTAAATATTGTTTCCCCACCCACTTTTTATCCCATCCACAATTCTGAAATTAACTTATTCTGCTAAATATTCTGGGATCACCTATTTTTAGTTCAAGGGGATTTTTGTATTTAAGAAATTAAAATCAATCCGAGCTTATAAAAATATATATTAGGAGCAGGCAGTACATCTACACTGTGATGCTGCCAGATCTGGCTATAAACTGGTGACATCTGGTGACATATGCCTGTCATTACCACACTGCAGAGTTATTATGTCACTGACTTTATTACCAGCACATGCTTTAATTCTTCTACCAAAAGTATCAGCCTACTGCCATACCACATAAAATTTGCTTCAATATGTAACCAAGAATTTTGAAAAAGTATGTTGATTCAATATAGACAATTTTCCAGCTAAATCAACCACAGTTTAAGTTTTTTATGTCATAAGAGCTTAATATGAATTTTGTTCAAAATTCAATTGATCAAATATATTTATTTATCAAAATATATTTATCAGGAAAGATTTGAATAACAACTTAGTGGCCTTGCCAAAGTTTCATATCTGATTATGCGGTAAGTAACTCCTTTTCCCTTAACCTGATGGAACAGGAAGTTATTAGCCTTTGCCACCAGTATAGAGCCAAGGCAGCTTGCACATCCATGCAGTATAACCAGGCTCTATACTGTTGACAAGTCATCAAATTTAAAATTTTGAATTTACTATATATTTAACTAGATTTTCTTAAAATTTACACTGGCCCGAACTAATTTCACTGGCCATGGGCCACCGGGCCAGTGCTAAATTCAATGACTGTGTGGATTGCTCAAGTTTTATATTTCCATACTAAAATCCTCAAAATTGTGAGTAGACTGTAATGTAAAGTAGGGCAAAATAAACCCATTATTACACAAATTCATGAATAGGCTAGGATATAACAGAGGTGCCAGGTTAATACAATCAGCACTAGTGGAGCCCTTACCAGTTTTATATTGGGCGTTGCCGTCGGCCCCTCCTCAAGGCTTTGCTTCTGTAGTTTGTTGGTGAGGAGGTTCACGTCCAGGGCCAGCATCATCGCTGGTTACCGTGGTAACTCCCTATCGCTATGGTTACTTCATCATGAGATCAAATGAACCAATCCAATATACTGTTCTATACCCACACCTGAAAGTATAATAATCAATCCTTTTTTAGAAAGTAAATTCAATGAAACAGAAAATATTTTTTCTATATTTTTGTTTCAGTTTCGAATCAAAACCTTTTTTTAAACAAGTGAACATTGAAATCGAGAGCAATGTGTTAGCATGTGGTGTAATGAATTGCACTAGTTCCTCTTTGCTAGTGAAAGGCAATTTCATCATAAAACATGGACTTTAACAGATGCTTGAATGCATATTTAAAGTGAACAAGGCAAATAACCTTATCAATAAACAGTGAACAAGGCATATAATCTATCAATAAACAGTGAACAAGGCAAATAACTACAATATATAACAGTGAAAAATGCAATTAACCTATCATTAATCAGTGAACAAAGCATTTAACTATATCATCAAAACAGTGAACAAGACAAATAACCTTATCATTAAACAGTGAACAAGGCAAATAACCTTTTCATTAAACAGTGACCAAGGCAAATGATATATATTAATAAACAGTGAACAAGGCAATTAACCTATTATTTAACAGTGAACAAGACAAATAACACATCAACTAGAACTGTGTCCAAAGGACACGGATGCCCCCACTGACAACATATATATGGTATATAGTGAAAAAATCAACAAAGGGCCATAATTCTGTTAAATTTGGTCGCAGCAAAAATTCCTTCCTTTACTACCATCTACACATTAAGGTTGTTCATCCCTGGAAGTTTAAGCAAAATCTGCAATCCGGTTTAAGAGGAGTTGCGTTCACAAAATTTCTATATGGTATATAGTGAAAAAATCAACAAAGGGCCATAATTCTGTTAAATTTGGTCACAGCAAAATTCCTTCCTTTACTATCATCTACACATTAGGGTTGTTCATCCCTGGAAGTTTAAGCAAAATCTGCCATCCGGTTTAAGAGGAGTTGCGTTAACAAAATTTCTATATGGTATATAGTGAAAAAATCAACAAAGGGCCATAATTCTGTTAAATTTGGTCACAGCAAAAATTCCTTCCTTTACTACCATCTTCACATTAGGGTTGTTCATCCCTGGAAGTTTAAGCAAAATCTGCCATCCGGTTTAAGAGGAGTTGCGTTCACAAAATTTTTACATGGTATATAGTGAAAAAATCAACAAAGGGCCATAATTCTGTTAAATTTGGTCGCAGCAAAAATTCCTTCCTTTACTACCATCTACACATTAAGGTTGTTCATCCCTGGAAGTTTAAGCAAAATCTGCCATCCGGTTTAAGAGGAGTTGCGTTCACAAGATTTCGGGACGTACGGACAGACGGACGGATGGACGGACGGACAGACGTACGGACGGACAGACGGACGGACAAGTGCAACGCTATATGCTCCCACTCTGTGGGGGCATAATAAACAGTGAACAAGGCAATGTACTTATCATTTAACAATGAACAAAACAACTAACACACCAATGAACAGTGAACAAGACAAATAAATTAACCTATCAATTAACAGTGAACAAGGCAATTAACATATTATTTAACAGTGAACAAGACGAATAACACATCAATAAACAGTGAACAAGGCAATGTACTTATCATTTAACAATGAACAAGACAACTAACACACCAATGAACAGTGGACAAGACAAATAAATTAACCTATCAATTATCAGTGAACAAGACAATTAACATATCAATAAACAGCACACAGGGCAAATAACATAATATCATCAAATAGTGACCAATGCAAATAAACTATCATTTAATGGTGAGGCAAATAAATTATCAGTCATTAACCAAAATTTAAGTGATTAAAACCCTGCTGCATCATTATCAATTTACTATAATGTTAAAATAACAATCAAGTGTAATAACTTCCTTAATGATAAATAAATTTATCGAAGTAATAAGATATAACTATATCAGTATTGTAGATTTTCAACATTTACACACACTCATTTAGGTTTTAAAAGGGGCATTCGTAGCCGAGTGGTTAAGGTCGTTGACTTCAAACCACTTGCCCCTCACCGCTGTGGGTTCGAATCCCAACAGAGACTTTGGATTCTTTCATGTAAGAAAGCTATCCAGCTAGCTTACGGAACGTTGGTGGTTCCACTCAGGTGCTCGTTCCTGCCTGAAATAATGCACGGAAGGGCACCTGAGGTCTTCCTCCACCAGTAAAGCTGGAACCTCGCGATATGACCTATACTGTGTTGATGTGACGTAAACAATCCCCATCCAGATATAGTCATTTCTGTCATAGGTAGATTTTGACATTCCGGGACCTCAAAATTTTCATTATGAATTAGGAAAATATATGCTCCCTTAAATTTGACAATTTAGTTAGCAATATCATTTATCATGGGCCAAGGGAAGCAATATCATTGACTTAGTATCCAAGGAATATATATCATTTAGTATCCAGGGAAGAAATCTTTTCATCAATGGTCCCCTAGGGGAGCATAGTATATTGATTTAGAGTCCAGGGAAGCAATATCATAGGTATCATTATTCAATACTTTTGTTGAAGAGCCAAGGGAAGCAATTTTCTATAAAGTCTAAGGAAGTAGTGTCTTTGACTTACTGTCCACAGAATAGCAAATCTTGATAACTAGAGGGAAAAGAAGGCAGGAAGCAATATCATTGATTTAATGTCCAAGAAATCAATGTTTTTGTTAAAGAGCCAAGAGAAGCAATTTTAAGTTATGTCTAAGGAAGAAGTGTCTTTGATTTACTGTCCACAGAATAGCAAAATCTTGATAACTACAGGGAAAAGAAGGCAGATTAAGTGTCCAGGGAAGTAATATCATAGATTTAGTGTCAAAGGAATCAATGTTTTTGTTAAAGAGACAAGGGAAGCAATTTTAAGTTATGTCTAAGGAAGAAGTGTCTTTGATTTACTTTCAACAGAATAGCAAAATCTTGGTAACTAAAGGGAAAAGAAGGCAGATTAAGTGTCCAGGGAAGCAATATGATAGATTTAGTGTCCAAGGAATCAATGTTTTTGTTAAAGAGACAAGGGAAGCAATTTTAAGTTATGTCTAAGGAAGTAGTGTCTTGTCTAAGGAAGTAGTGTCTTTGATTTACTGTCCAGAGAATAGCAAAATCTTGATAACTATAGGGAAAAGATTTAGGCAGATTTAATGTCCAGGGAAGCAATATCTATCTTTCACTAAACATAAGGAATCAATTTCCATGCTATTAATGACATCTTATTTTCGGTGGAACAATTGGCAGCAATAACTATTATCATTCTATAAAGTACATGTAACACCTGTTTAAAAACAACAAGAACACACTGAGGTTAAAATATTACCATTTTTATCATGGAACATGGAAGAAATGATATCATTCTGTAAAAATAACCCACCTGTTGTATAAAATTGCTCTGATTTTAAGACAGAAAGGGTTTATAATTTAAAGGCTGCAGGTTTTACAGTACTGTTAACATAAATGAGCCGCGTCACGACAAAACCAACATAGTGCGTTTGCGACCAGCATGGATCCAGACCAGCCTGCGCATCCGCGCAGTCTGATCAGGATCCATGCTGTTCGCTTACCAATTCTATTACAAGAAGAGAAACTGATAGCGAACAGCATGGATCCTGATCAGACTGCGAGGATGCGCAGGCTGGTCTGGATCCATGCTGGTCGCAAACGCACTATGTTGGTTTTGTCGTGACGCGGCTCAAATCTAATCTCATTCAGTTTGATATGACCGGCTAGCAGTGTATCTTTATTTGCTTAATTGATTACATGTTGGTATCTTGTTTCCCTTCTGGTTATTGTAGATTATTATTACTTCATTGGTCAATACTGAAATCAATATCGTGATATTCCAGCTTACTTTGGTAAAATTTATCAACATTATACCGAGTCCTATATCATTTTGTTAAGATTGCATATACTTATTATAGCTCTTTTGTAAATAAACCTCGAAGCTGGAAGCTTAATTGAACCTGCTTCATTAGTCTGCCTCCTGGAAACAGGGCTCGGCTCGCTCAAGTGCCGATAGCCATTTTACCCATTTTATATAAATCTTAACAATTTGACTAAAGAAATTATAAAATCACACTTTTATGTGGCTAAAAGATATTTCAACCTGGGTGAACACTGTGGAAGTAAATAGTACTGGTGTAATATGAGAAAATTTTGGTATTGATCCAGTCAGGGCTTAAAACCATTGTCCCTGGTTAGTCAGGGCTCGAACCCATTGCGCCTGGTTAGTCTGGGCTCAAACCCATTGTCCCTGGTTAGTCAGGGCTCAAACCCATTGTCCCTGGTTAGTCAGGGCTCAAACCCATTGTCCCTGGTTAGTCAGGGCTCAAACCCATTGTCCCTGGTTAGTCAGGGCTCAAACCCATTGTCCCTAGTTAGTCAGGGCTCAAACCCATTGCCCCTGGTTAGTCAGGGCTTGAACCCATTGTCCCTGGTTATAGAGGCACGCCTTAAAATGGCTAAGACTTAAATCCCGTATTTTGCCACTGTGTATGATATTAGTACACTGGTATTTCTATTTTCTCGACAATAATTGCTTTCTCGTAAAAAATATCAACACAAGATTTTGAATTTTTAAAGGTTTTCAAAAAAATTTTTTTTACCAAATAACTTGTCAATATTGAAGAAAAATTTACTTAGGTACTGCGATTTTGAACTGTCTCACAGTTTAGTAGTGAAGAAAACTCAATTTTGGTTACGAAAAGGGTACATGCGTGACACTGAAGAACAAAAACCCATCATACTTCCTAAAGTGAATAAGTACTCAAGTACTTCAAATATTATAATTGATAAAACGGAGTACCATAAAATATTGAGTTTAGTCCAAGTTCAAGGTTGTGCATGCTAGCCTGGCTTTATACTGAAAGTAAAAACATGTCATAATTCACGCCCCCCCTGGGATTAATGGTTTTTAAAAGGCCCTTTAAACAAAAATTCTTAAACCGAATGGGGAAACAAAATTTTTTTTTATTTTGGGAGGGTTTAAAGGGGTTTTCAAAAACCCTTTATCTTTGTCAACTTACCCCATTTGGAGCATGTTTTATAACCCTTATTTTTTTTTGTATAAACCCAAGTTTTAAAATATTAAACTCTTTTATAAACCACTTGACATCCCCGGGCTAGCTAAAATTTGTAGAGAAAGGGAGCATAATTTTTAATTGTACAAGAAACAGAAACGGGGTTTGCAGGGTTTTGGGGCCCTGCTGGGTGGGAAAAGGGGGAAATTTTTCAGTGACAATTTCAAACCTGACTTTTTTTTATAAATGCCTTTTTTTTCCCTTTTTTATCCAACTTCGGCAGAAAATTGCATAGAGACACGTTCAGTATTTACTAGCAACACTCTCAATACCCTTAATTAAAGGTACCCCTGCTGAACCCTCGAGAGTAAGAAAAAAACTTTGTCACATGAGCAACATTCTCATTTGTGCCATGTTGGATGACCTTTTCCTATATTCTAACCCTACAAAATATTTTCATGTTTCAGAATTGGTTCCCCAACATTAAAGATTGAATGTTTTGCCTCACAGTGGTTTTCATAGAAAGTTCATTTTCATTTTTTTGCTATGCTTCTTATATAGCAAGTTAAATCAAATTTATTAGTTTAAGTTATTAATAGCCACTTTGATCTGCTAGGTGTTGTTTTTTTCTTTTGATTATTTGTTTTTTTTTTTGGTTTTTTTTTAATTAATTCATTTTTTTTAATTATCTATTAAATATAAAAAAAAATTATTTATTTTTACAGAATTTTATCAATTATTACAGTAGGTAATTATCAAAATCAAGTTATGTTATGATTTAATGTAAATTAATAATGTACTTAGTTTGAGGGAGAAAAAAACCATGTGTTAAAACCCCCACTCCAAAAAAATAAAACTTGAAAGTTAGTAATATCAAATTACAATTGGGTGTCATTCAATTCTTTATAGTATGTGTTCAAAAATTTGTTTGTAAATGCTAAAATATTCAAAAGAACAAAACATTTTTTTACCTGCTATCATTTAATCCACAGATTTCTAGTAAATGTCCAAATAAGCAGTACAATTAAATAACTATTCAATTAATATGTTGAAAAAGGTACAATACAAAGGTACGTTAAAAAACCACCTATTATTCCAAATAACCGACAAAAAAACATGTCCCACATGCTTTTGCAACTATCATGCTCGATGTATATAGTATATATTAGCCGAACAAATTTCTTGTGTCATTACTGCAGTGAAATATTGGCAAATATCGTCCTCGATATAATCTCCCTACATCCAGGCATTAAACTAATAAATCCTGCGTGTAAACACTAGTGTATTACACCGCTTTTGCACTAATGCTTTAAATTTTTTTATCATTTTTACTATAGTACTATTGAGATAATTCAATACCGTGTTAAATCCAACAATATTTCAATGGTACATAAGTCATTATTTTGTAATTTAAACATAGCAAAGTCAGTCAAACGCCACAATTTGGCAAACAGAAATATGTTTGTATAGAGCTATTTAAATTATTGATCTCCCAATTGAAGAGGTGACCTCAGATAAAATCTAAATATGGCATGTCACCAAAAAAAAATAAAAAAATCCAAATAAATAAAACTAGTAAATATCTAAAATAGCTTTTAGCTAATGTGCTTTTCCTGTATGAAGCTATATGCATGGTGACATGTCTTTCTATGATGACAATATTATAATCTCTATATAAGGCCTAGAATAAAATATTGTTTGTTTCCCCTCCTACTACCTACCCACAAAATCACAGCTACCTAAAAATTTCCTGACAAAAAAATTTATTTTTTTTATTACTTAACATGGGAGCAGAAGGTCAATGAGAATGATCACATCTAATATATTTGTCTCAATCATGTTTTCTTAATTGTAAATATACAACTGGGAAATAATGAATAAAACTGAAAATATGGTTCTTATAATTATTTTAAACAGATATACTGAAACAGATTCTAAACATTTACAATTTCTTTTGACTCCATATAATTTTGATAGAAAAAAAAATATTTTGGATAAAAAAAAATATTTTATCAAACCTACCTACCCTATCCAAACTGGCATGGGTCACGGGAGGGGAAACAAAGATAATTTTATGGCACGCCTAATATAATATGTATTATACAGTATAAACTTAAAATATATAATGAAGCTTACACTGTGACTGCACAGGTTTTATATATTTATTGTGTCCATATAATTCATTTCTACAAATACAAAGACAGCCAGGACTCAGGCATAGTGGTAATAAGGTGTATGGCACTCAACCTAGGTTTGATCATGTGTCCTAATTTAAAACAATCCTAAAAGGTGTCTGCCTCTCAACCCAGAGATCATGGGTTTTAGCCCAGTACTTGGGTCATGACCATGTTTCTTCGTATGACACCAGTACTGGTTGGTTCCAGGAAGCGGAATCGAAAGTGATTAATATAAGTTGCATGAACTTGTTTCGCAATCAAGCTTAAATAAATATGTTTAAACCAATTTAAAACACAAGTACTGGTACTTTCCAGGAAGCAGACTGGAGAATGTTGCAAATTAGCTGCATGTACTGGCGGAAGACATCAGGTGCCTTTCTGTGCACCATTAATCAGTTCAGGCCCGAGTTGGCACCCAAGTTTAAAGACTATTCTCACTGTACAACCCCTTGAAATGAACTACCACAATTAAAAATAAACAAAGTCTTGACAGATAGTTTCAATTAAACATAAGAAAATATAATCTTCTGAATTACATTCAAACAAAAATTTGGAATGACATTGCATTTAATTATCCAATCGATTTTAACCATCCAACCTCTTTTTATACTGAATTCTGAATAATACGTATGCCAATAGCACGAGTACTATAATTGTCCCATTCATAATTTAATGATTCATAACACTTAAGACAATGAGGAAAACTGCAAACTAAACATAATATACGATACTTAGTATTATTAATACTGTACATGACGAACATGATCATCTTAGATCTAATAAACAAAGGTTACACCCATAAACAAAATAAAACAATACATGTGGCATTTGGCCATCTAAATATACCTTCCTCGTCTCAAGTGCCCATAAAAAATAATAAATCTTCAAAGAAAAAATATCATGACATGAAATGTATTTTTCAAGTACCCTTTATCACTGTAATGTATTACAAGTGTTGGTAACACAGTGCATGCCACAAATTTAGGAAGCTATATAGTGTATAGTGTATGTCTCGGATGTCTGGCATATTTATGCATTTTAGCTGATCATATATATATACAGTCAATTGACTTGATATATTTACGATTCAATGTTTACTAAACCCACTTCATATTTTTTATCATAATGGAAGACACATTTTTCTACTTTATAGTTCAATTCTTAAGCATTTATAACTATAGTACTTGACCACTCAAAATCAGTCTCAGCATAGGTGCTACTGTTATATGTACCTAAAGTATCTTAATTTAAACCAAAGAACTCATATAGCATCAAAAGTGAACAAAGCATCAAAAGTGAAAATAAGTGAGCTGACTAAGAATTGTAACTCAGCCACCCTATTTCTGACAATTAGCGTGGAATTTTAAATGATCTAACCCCCTGCATTAAAGAACAACCTTACATTGACAGTCTATAAGATTAAATTCCCATTCAAAGTTTGACATAATCTCTGCTAATCTGGCACAAAAATAGCCCAAGGTATTGACTCATCAGAGCTAAGACAGACAGGAACTGATTTCCCCTACCCACCCTCGCTAATATAGCGACAACAACTGCGTGGATCGTAACATAAACATTGGACAGTTCCAGATTAAAAGCACACGCATAGTAAATTTGATTTTTTCTTCCAAAGATTTGACCTTTCTTTCGATTTTTCTAGCTATTATTTGACCTTTCTTTCGATTTTTCTAGCTATTATTTGACCTTTCTTTCGATTTTTCTAGCTATTATTGGACCTCTCTTTCGATTTTTCTAGCTATTATTTGACCTCTCTTTTGATTTTTCTAGCTATTATTTGACCTTTCTTTCGATTTTTCTAGCTATTATTTGACCTTTCTTTCGTTTTTCTACCGGAGTATGATTTTTCTTTATCATAAGGGTTAAGTCACTGTACAATATAGAGCACGCTTTTCTTTTTCTAACTTTCACCTCACCTTTATGTACCATCCACACCAGAACCCTTGAACCACGCCCAAGCCAATTCACATCAAATTAGCAATATTTACAAAATAGCCCATTTGAAAAATGTTATTGAAAAAAAAAACCTATACATCTTATGTACACAAAAAATCTAATACTATATATTTGTAGATGATATCACCTTAAATACATTTAGTAAAATCTATTTCTGTTGCTATTATAGCCTTTCATACAAACTCGTAAATTTAAATTTACCCTAAATTAAAAAACCCCATTTTACCGAAGTTTAAACGGTAAAAAGTTTTTTATATCTCTCTTTGGATAAGAAACCCAATTATTTATTTCCATTGAATGAATTTGAATAAAGGTTTTGTTTGTTCTTAGGTTATGACTTAAAATCCAATTTTAAATCTTTAAAAGACCAAAAAAAAATTTTGGTTTTAGAATTCATTTTAACAAAATTTTATAAAAACTTGGGCAAACTTGTTTTTTTAAGAGTATCTATGTAAAAGTTTAAGCGCATTTTCGCAAAATAATTTCAGTACGTATATTACATGCCATTACCCTCAATACTACACTTGTATCTTAAATGGACTTGTCTATCTTTTAATCTGGACAAAACCAGTCATCATTTTCAGTGAAAATTTTAAAATATGTACCTATACTTAATAGTGAACAGTATAGATAGACAATGACCAGACTGCATGCCACATGATCGTGGTCTGCACTGGACGTTGGTCAGCACCGGTAGCATGAGTGGAGCAACTGGAGGGTCATAATGCCTAATTATCTTCATTGTTATACAACTAAATGTCAGAAGACAAATCTTGGAATCTATTTATATCTTTAATTGAATAAGAATATTATTCACTAAAAATTCTTAAAACCAGTAAACTATTTCACACCTAAATACAATCTCATCTAATTATATTATACCTCATTAAAATTCCCTAATAAATGAAGAGTAAAAATAACCCCTGGCAACTCCTATATTAAATTCACACTTCTATTATACAATACACTTCCAGACATGAAGAATTTAGCGACCCCTAGAGGCAGATACCATACTGTGTGCTGTTACATTCTGTTGTACAGATGTGACGCGTTTTCTCAGAAAATGCAATCAATAAAACAAGGGTCATTCCCCCACAGCTTGCGTCATACCTTATTTAGTGCTACAGCTATCTTTAACAGTGAATAATATCACACCTTATGAATATTTCACTACTCTAGAAAACAAAAATTCCCTCAATTGTCGAGCAAAAAGTTTTATGTTACTTAAATTTACTTAAAACTAAAGCATTAAGTAAACTATATTTTTCAATATTCAACCATATGACTTATTTAACAATCATTATTTACTATAACACTGTAGGACAAGGAATTTCTATTTAAACCATCTGCAAGTTTTTTTAACAATTTACCCCTGATTTCCTGTGAAAATCTTTTAATATGGTTTTCACCCCTAAGCTGCTTTGTGAAGGGACTGGTCGAAAACAGTCCTAATTCAAAATTAAAAGGAATTTGTGAAATTTACTAACCCGTTAAGCCTTGTTCAGACTGTGCGGAAAATGGAAGCTTGCATTTTCCATACAGTCTAAACAAGAACTTAACGGTTAGTATATCTACATGTACATGTAAATACTATTTGAAAAGATAACATCACTTCGATTACAGCAGATTAAAGGTTAATTATTATTATTATATGCATTATACATGTATTTAATTACACATTTTTTTTACCCTTTAACGCACTATTATCATACTGAATTAATTCTTTTTTAATTCTATATTTAAGACCATTTGTGAAGCCAAAATGAACGACCACCATTTCTCTAATGCTTTAAAAAAGACACCCTGTTGTTATACATTATCAAAGAGTCATTCCTACTTGCAACAATAATTCAATCAAAATGTCCTCCCCGAATCTTCAAATTTATCATACTTCATTAAGTTGAAAAAAAAACACAATCAAAGTGGTTTCATATCATATATCTCGTCAATTTTATTCAACTCAAAATGTTCTGCTTGAAAGTGACTTTAATCATACAAAATCATGTCCATTAAACAAATTGTAAAGTCAATGAAATAGTGCATATAAACATAAAAAGATTTTCTTTACAACAATTAATTTACAAACGTTTTTTTAGAGGAACAAACAAAAGGGAAAGTACAGGTTTTATCCAGCCCGTAAAGTTTAAGGTAGAATATATTTTACAACTCCAATGATTTTGATCATAAAAACATACTTACGGGTGAATTACTTCAGAAAA